TTATCGATTTATTTAATTTTGATAATCATGCTCCAAACTTTGAGAGGACTGACCCCCCAGCTCACCTGCTTCCTCACACACACACAGCCAGCAGCGTCACCTTCCCATTCATACTTGATGACGTCACGCCCACATCGACACGCCCACCACCAGGTGTCAAAGCCACTGCTCCTGTCATATCAATAATTACTTATTTCATTCATGTGGCTCTTATAGAGCCTCAGTGAAAACGTGTTTATTATTATTAACGCTTTGGTGCAAAAAAAACTGATCGAAAATCGATTTATTTACTGCATGTTTATGTCCGTTAAGGCTGAGATGGAACGGCACTGAAAGCAGCCCTTTAATAGAGACGATCACAATAGAGACACAAACTGACTACCCCGCGATAATAACTCAGTAGTCCATGGAAAAACCTTATAAGCTTGTATTAAAGCAGAAAGTGCGGCGGCCACCGTAAAAAAGGCTTACAATATTAAATTATGCCGCATGAACTGATCAGTCGATCAATGCGAGCGAACGCAAAAATTTTGCGAGGAAATGCAAAAGAAAAAAAAATTCCCCATGTCCCCTGGAGGGCTCCGTAGATAAACTAATTTTCAGTAAACAAAAAAAAAAATTCTATATACATATAAATAATTCCATAAAATATTACAAATAACTCACTAGAACATTCTTAAAATTATTTGGAACTTTAACAGTTTTGCTTAGCTTTACATTTTAAAAATACTTTGAATTTATTTGTGTTATAAAATTATAGAATTTGATGATTTAGCAGAGCTGTATGACCAAGCTTTGGGTTTCAGTCATCTTAAGCAGAATCTGACAATGAAGTTCTGCATGATTACCGAAATGATTGTTAAACTTTTCACGTCTAACAGAAAATATCCTGCCTCCCGTTATATTAAAAGGTAAAAAAAAAAAAAAATGAAAGAAAAAAAGTAAATTAAAAAAGGCAGTTTGCTGAGGTTGTGCTAAAGTGTGAGATGTTGAAACTGTAGGACTAATTCCAGTTTCTTTCAATCCAGCCCCATCGAACACAAACACACACACACACCCTCATTCTGAAATTGTGTCTGTCCAACAAAGACGTCCCAGCAGCTCCCTCATTATAAATACATGTCATTGGATCACAGCTAGTCTGAATCCCTGAGTCTGCTGCGCTCTAAGTGGCCGTGACTGAGCCCTGAATGGGTGGCCGAGCCACGGCTCTGCCAATAAAGCCAACCGTGTTTGTGTGTGTGCATGTGTGTATGTGTGTGTAGCTTTGGTCCGTGGGAAGAAAAGCCTCGTCGCAGGACAACGTCAGAGGTTCGGATGACCAAAATGTACATGCATGTGTATTATATATAAATTTTAAAAAATGAGTAAATAATTTTGGTGCAGAAATGGCTGGATTCAGCTGAATTGTGTCAACTGCTGCATGTGCGACGGTGTTTTTACTTCAAATCTGGGGCAATAAGTTTCCTGCTGCCTCAACAACAAATAAATCAAGTCCTAGTTCCCTTATAGGGAGTGTGTGTGTGTGTATCTGTGCGCGCGCATATGCATCATGTGTGAGTGTTAAGGAGCTCCTCCTATCTAGTTATGCAGGGGACATGTGAAAGTGTCTCCATCCCTGTGGAACCACAAACCAGGCCACAGCGTTGGTGTACCCTCATTCCTCCAACATCTTCCACCACCACTTCTATTTCTGACTCATGGCTCGGATCTTTCTGGGTTTTACAGGCTTTTCCTCTCACCACCTTCACTACACTTTGAACAAAGTCTAAAGAAGATCAACAAATGATTAGCCTGTTGGATCAATAAACTGTAGGGATGAACAGAGAAATTGCTCAGTGTTGGTGTATCATGGTCATCAGTGTTCAATTATGAGGAGGAAGAATGTGGCGATGTGAATAAATGAATGGAAATCCTTCACTGGTTTGAAAATCTATTGCAAATATGCAAGGCACACTTTCCAGATTTTATTTGAATAATAATCATACCTCTTTTTCGTTCTACTTCACAATTACTTTGTGAACACAAACACATGTATGTTTGTTGCTAAAATGTGAAAACATGCAGATAAAGTCAAAGGGAGAGCAGCACCTTTTCATCAGGAACGGTGATCGTATTGTATTAAAGCTAATCTGTTTTTATCTTTTTAAGTTTTCACTCTCTCAGCCTGTAATGAGACCTGAGCTTGAGGAAATATTTGACGTTTGGAAATCTCCAAGCTAAGGTGAAATTTACAGAACAGATAAAGCACAAAGAGTCCTAGTTTGGTAATGCTAGCCATGCTAGTTACTAAGCGGATAAAAGTTAAAAATGTCAGCTTGACAACCAGCATCTCTTCTCTTGAAGAATCAGAACCGGCTAAAATGGTGTGCACAAAACTTTAAGATGTTCTCACTGGAGAATCTCAAGCAAATACTGAATGCCAATAAATAATATATTCATATTTTACATAAAAAGTCAGGAATTTTCCATGCATCATATTTAGGTACTACCTCATAATGTCCAAATGCAAATTGAAGAATACTGTATCGCCTTTTATGGTACAAGATAAAAACAACATATTTATTTATCTGTTATATAAAATTTCCCACATATTAAATGGTGTTAACTGCAAATGCGTGCCGACATTTTACATTTTTATTTGTAAAGCAATTGGAGAAATGCATATGCATGTAGGTTTGTGGTGACGACAACATGCAGAAATCTTCAAGGTCTGAATAATTTGCATTATGCTGTAGATGCATTCCCTTCAAAGCCTGCTGTCTCACACGATGGAACGACCACAAAACAGTTTTGTTCATCAGTCACATCAAACCATTTCTGTCAATGAGAAATTAAAATGTCTGTGTGACAACTAAGAGATTTTTGATTTGTGTTGCTTTGTTTTGTTTATTTGTTTTACTTTGCCAACAGTTTCTGTCCAGCACCACCGTTACGGAAATGTAAAATTCCTTGTGAGGCTTTATAGATGCAAAAACATTTATTTTAGAGTTTCAAGGGAAGTTGAAATAGTCCACAGATAAAATAATGTAAAGGTGTTCAGATGATGATGAATCAAGTCACCACCAGAGGATGAAAAACCCCCCACTAAGAATGGAGAATATTGAACAAAGAACAAAGCAAGGTGTGTGTGTAAAAGAGAAAACAAGAAAATAATTTAGCATATGAGAGACGGACGGGTCCAGGTGGCATTTTAGCGCTGCAACATGCAGACAAAGCAGCAGCAGAAGACAGAGGTGTCCGCCCTCGCTGTCCCCACAGAGGCCGAGGCTGTGCCACTGCCAGCAGGTCTGTGGGCCTGTGGAGGGGACTGTGAGGAAGCCATCCCCGTCTGCGGAGCTAATGAAGCCTGAAGCCACCAGCATGAAGGAGTGGAGCGAGCCACCGCTGCTCCTGCGACCTCGATCTCCCCTTACAAAGCTCCTAAAGAGATCAGGTGCTCCTCACTGAGGAGACACGGTGAAATTCACATTCAAAACTGTGAATGTGTCTGAAGATGGAAAGAGGCTGCAAAGGTATGAGACCCTTCCCTCAACTTGCAACAATGGAATGGTTAAATCAAAGCATACCAATGTTTCAGAATGGCCCAGTCAAAGTCCAGACTTGAATCTAGATTGATATACTGGGAAATATTTGAAAGTTGATGTAACATTCATATGATCTTATCAGAGTTTGAACTCTGTTGCAAAAAGGACATAAATGTGCTTCCCTAGCAGTACAAACACGGATGGAGCCAAACGACATGACGATTGTTCTGCAAATACGTTAGTGAGACCAAATACAAAAGGAAAACATTCTTTTCAGATTTTTCATTCTAAAATATTTTTAAAACCACTCATCATTTTCCATCCACTTCACAATTAAGCGCCATGTCTTGTTGATCGATCTGATAAAATCGCAATGAAACCTGCTGACGTTTAAAGTGACAAAATAGGAAACGTTCAAGTAGTATGAGCACTTTCACTTTAAATCGTTTTTAGCTGGACCAACATTAATATTTCTTGTTTTCCATTCGTACATTGAATAGAAGATATTACCCCTGTAATAATAAAAAACTGATGACACAAGACATTATTTTAAATCTTCAATTAAACCAAAACACGATGTCAAGATGAAAAAGAACTAAAAATCTGGACGTTTTCCTTCACATATCATATTCATAGGCATATTTTTGCTTGTGAAGCTGCAGAAGTGATTTGTAAAGTTAATGTTTTCTTATGTAAAGCATATTGCAAGGTATCACCAGGCTTTCTCTTCTCAACAAAAGATGGCAAAGTGCAAGTTTATAAACCGGCGCACTCTTGGCGATCTCCTCGATCGTGGAAATGCAGAGCCTTGCTGGAAATGTTGCCGTCAATCAGTGAGAAACAAAGACAGGCGTCTCGCTGCAGAGACCGAGACCAACATGTCAGTCAAAGAAGAAATGCCACAGAAAGGCAGAGGTGTGAGAAGAAAAGGCTTAGCAGACAACACAATCCCTCCTTTAGCGAGGGTGGTCCAACTACAGCCTGCCCGCCTTTCTGCCCGTCTGCAACAATATGATGAAGGACCCGGCCCGATCCTCTCCGAACAAACAAAACGGAGCCAATAATGGACAGGAGTGCTTATCAAATAGCCCCGCGATTTCATTTGCATTCGACAAGACCCAGACGATCGCCAAACACACACACACGGATATGCGCCACTCGTGAACCAGACAACCTCTTGACTGGCCTTGACCCTTGAACTCCAGGGTCCTCTTTCACCTGCTGCAGCACCATTCATGCTGGAGGGGCCGTCTAGCCGGAGCCTGGCTGATCTGCATATGTCCTCGCAGGATTCCCACGCTCCGGGCTCAGAGCTCACCGTGGCGGTATTCATAAGAAAACATTATGAAGATCTGCATTGTGTCTGTGTCTGTGCTGTCTGACTTTTTGCTGGATGACCCTTGTTGCCATGGCTCAGAACCCTTGAGGCTTTTTGTTTTGCCCCCTTTCAGATGATCTGTAGGTATTCTACAGGACCACGTCTGACAGGCACACAAAATTTAGCTGCATTTGCAACACACGAGCGTATTATAATATAATGCCCGTCTTGCATCGTCCCTCCCCCACCCTCTGTGCCATGCTTCCCTCTCTTTGTTTCCATCCTGTACTTGTTTTGTTGTTTCGTTCTCCAGCACATCAAGGGTAAACTCCTGACTCGCCTTGCCTTCTCCTTCCTCTTCCTCCTTCTTGATGACCTGCCCATTGGCTGAGAGACGCTCGGAGCGCTCTCACTGGCTGCTGTAACCCACGGAAACGGTGATGCGGCGAGCGCCAGGCTCCCGTGTAGTAGGGGGCGTTTGAGGATTATTGTGAGAAATGGGTGAGAGCATCTTCTTCTGATAACATGACTGTCAGATGGGAAAGGGTGCAAAGCAGATAGCAGAGGGGAAGGCGACGAAGGGCGGGCAGGCGCGGCATATGGACGTTTTCGTCAGCCTATGCAAATGGGTCGAGACGTGTTCGCATATGCAGACAAATTCACCCCCCACCATTCAGTTCTTCATTAATGGATCCTTCTAAAACCCAGACACCCCCATCCGCCTCCACCCCCTTCCTCAAATAATAACCTTTCGCTCCATCTACCCCCACCCCGTAGTCTGGACCCTGTAACCCATGTCTCCCTCGAACCAGACACCCTAAAAAACCTCCCTACCCCCTCCTGTGTGCCCCCCCCTCACATGTCGTCCTCTCTGCTCTCTGCTCCTCAGCTCCCACGACCGGCAGACGGAGCCCATGATTCGCGTGACCGCCATTTTGCTGCCCACACCAGACCTAACTGTACGACTCAGCAGCTGCCTCGATGGGCAAAATGCAAATAGGAGCGCTGCTTTGTTGCTCAGCTGCCCTGATCAGATGAAGCAGCGTCCCAAAAAAAACAAAAAAAAAAAACGCATCAGTTCAGGTGAATATAAAAACAGCTGCTTGAGGTTACATATCAACTCGTGCAGGATTTTATGTTTTACTCACAGTGCTATTCTGAACTCTAAAAACCACACCAGGTGGTTAATTTGACTCATTTACTTCTGGCTGGTGGGTTTTTATGTTTCATGAGACACTCTTTCTAAATAAACCCATCACCCTGTGGTTTGTTTAGTGCTATGGTAACCAGACATCCATGTGCATGAACACAAGACCATCTCGGTCGGCGTGCTTCTGGACTTCATTGGGCCCGCAGCCCCTCGACTTAATTAGACTCCGCCGGACGTTCTTTTCTTGGCTAATCTGTGCATTATGTACGTCTGTGTGTGTGAACGTGTGACGGGGTGATATCTGATTAAACAAAGCTCCGGCTTAATCCTTTGTACAGTTTCATTTGCAATGCGGGGAAATCGCATGCAAACACGAGCACCATATGGCACCGAACGTCTAGACGGTTCATCTCGTGTACGCTAAAATGCCCAGCCAATGTTTTACGAGGTTCCCAACAGTTGAAGCCCGGAGTGGAAAAACAAACATCCCCTCGCTCCGGCTTGTTTTCCCCGCCAACGCCGCCTTCGCTGGATCCGGCATTGGTGAAGAGTGCCACCGCCGCCTTTGGTTATAGTGGTTATGCAAATGCAATTAGCCCCAGATTTACATACGACAGTTAACGGATGCACAGATGGCAGACGACAGCGATGCACTCGCCATCTTTGGCAGAGGAGGAAAGACCGGCAGCCATTTTGTCTGAAGCTGTGCCCATCTGGATGGAAACGAGCCACGCTGCATCACGCTGATGGTGACAGCAGTTTGGGAGCTTTTGGGATTTTTACAGTGTTGCTGCTGCTGCAGATTGCACTCGAGCTCTCCAAAGGCCAAGCATGTACAGTACATTCATGCACACAGAGCTTTTTCTATTCTAGAAACATTTACTCCATCTGTTCAAAGGCTTTCTCAAATGATCATACTTTCATTTTTGAGCAAAAGTACTCCAGTAAAGTCAGCTGATTTAGTTCTTAGAGTCACTCTGTCTCCCATTCATACAGCACCTTGCAAAAGCATTCACACCCTTGTCCACATTTTGTCATGACACAGCCACAAATCCCAGTGCTTTTTAAAAGAGATTTTACGCAACAAAACGCCACAACACAGCATTAACATGAGGGTGGATTTGTGTCCAGGCTAACTTTTCACCAATACTTTTGTTTAAAAAGCAGAGCAACCAAATAGTCCAGTTGGATGTAATTTGATCTCAGTATAAATCCAGATGTTCTGTGAGGTTTGCTGGAGAATACTAGTGAGCAAGCAGCATCATGAAGACCAAGGAACACAGCAGACGACAACAAAGTTCTGGAGAAGATTAAAACAGGGATAGCGAATAAAACATTTCTGAAGTGCTCCGTTCAATCCATCAACCGAAGCTGGAAAGAGCATGAAAAAAATGCCCAAACATGGCTGGACACCAAAACAGACAGGTCTGGACTAAGAGAGGATTAATCAGAGAAGCAGCCAAGAAGCCCGTTTAACTCAAACAACTATACGTCGCATGAATCTGGTAAAAAGGGGAACAAAGGGAGCAACAGGAAGTCTAGTTTATAGTTTGTTTCAAGCCATTTAAGAGACAGTAAACGTTTTTCCTACATGCAAAAAATGTAAATGCATCAGAAAACTAACACTCATCACCCTGAACAAAGCATCTCAGAGGTGAAACATGGTGGAGGCAGCATCATGCTGTAAACATGATGCAAAAGACTTGAGACTAGACAGATTTTCACTTCTAAGCAGGAAAATGACCCTACGGAAAGTCAGAGATTTTCTGAAAGCGTTTGGAGCAAAGAATATTCATATTCTATTCTACTGAAATCGAAAGCTTGATCTGAACTAAAAGGCGAGACTTTTAGTTCAGAAAAGTCTCGCCTTTTGTTGTTCTGATTAACCTGATTACCTTCAGGTTAATCAGAACAACATTGTTGAAGACTTGTGACTTAAAAAAAAAAAGTCCAGGTCTAAATGCAAATGCGAGATTTTGTCCAATCTGACTGAGCTTGAGCTCTTTTGTCTAGACGTTCAAAGTTGGCGGAGACACACCCCAAAATATTTCTACATTAACTACTGAGGGCTTCATTCATAGATAAGCTACACCAACTTTAAAAATGATGCATCATTTCCATTTTACTTTACAACTATCCATTACTTGGAGCTGATCTGTCAGATAAAATCCTAATAAAAATGATTGCGTTGGTAATGTGACAAAATTCAAAACAATTCAAAAGGTGTTCAAACTTTACACACACACAGTATTTCAGATAATTTCTGATTCTGTTACAGAGATACTTGCCATTTTACTGTCTCCACTGAAAGGTTTCTGATCTCCAGTCCTCTTCTCTTTCCAGCCAGTTAATATGAACGGTCTCAAATTGATTAATAGACATGATGGGGAAAAAAAAAAAAAAGTTCAACCATCATTTTCCGGTGCGTCTGCTTTTGAAAGACATCTGTCTGGAGCTCATCATTGGAAGTGCAAGCCAAGAGTGGAGGTGGAAAATAAAGATCGCAGTGTCTGTTTGTCAAATGTGAAAGCCAGTTGGGGAATAAGCTGTGGATGAGCTGAAGATGGAGAGTGAGTCAAAGGGAGAACTTCCAAGCTGGTTGCCAGAGGCAGAAGGTGGTGGGATGTGTCAATCTCGTGATGGGAAAAAAAAAAAAAAAGAAGAAAGGAATATGCCTCAGAGCAGTCTTTTAAAACTCTGGGTATCATTTGGGGAGAAACACCCCTTCAGCAGAACCACACGCAGCCAGTGGAGATCAGGGTCCAGAGAAGGAGCCGGGGCTGCAGCTGAGAGAGACGCGCAGGGGATGTCCTTTGCAGGTCTGCAGGGCCTCCGGGCCACACACTTAAAAACACAGGAAACCCCACTCAAAGCTGTGAAGATTCTGTGTTTCATATCGATTTCTCTAGCACGCTGATAGCTCCAGAGGTGATTTTTGCCTTCAGGGACCTTCTCCATCCTTCCCAGCCCACTCACTAGCTCCCCGGCTGGGCTTCGCTGGGCTCCGCTAGACCCCTGGATGGAGGTACGAGCCACGGGAGACGAGGAAGAAGACGAGAGGCCCCCGGCAATGATGATGAGCTGCACCGGGTCACCGGGTTCAGTCATCCACCAGCCTTTATCCAGCCTTCCAGCCACCCACCCTTGTTTCCATCTGAAAAAAAAACAAAACAAGGCAAAGCAGAGTGTTTTTCAAAATCTCACCTTTAGCACTCAGCATCCCTCTGCTCAATGCAAATGCAAATGTAAACACTAACACTTTGATTAAAAATATGTGGGAAGAAAACGCCAACTTGCTCTTTTGTAACCCGCCCCAAGGCTCTTGCTGCTGCACACACCAAAAACAACAACAATAAAAAAAAAAAACAAATAAAAATGCTCAAACTGCTGTGTGCAAACCAAAGCAGTCGTCTCTGCTCCCATGTAAAAGGGCTACATATAAATCTAAATCTCCCAGGTTAAAATAATCACACTATAACCTCTTCATTTGGAAAATAGCGGTAATAATTTCATCTTCACAGAGTTCTTTGTTGAGATTCGTCTTGAAATATTCTGAAAGTATTCTGAATGCCGTTATCATGCTAATACGATAAGGTCCTTTGTGTGCTTCTTTGTTCTTTTTTTTTCTGAGGAAAAAAAAAATGAATTGCTGGGGCCTCCTTTTTGCAACCGTACACCCACCAGCCCTCGAATTTCCTTCAAACCAGCTACAAAGCATATTCATCGCATTTTGAGTTGCTTTAAAAAAAATAATAAGATACAGAAAGCGGCGGGTTAAACGGTCCGAGGTCAGATATGAGAAGAGTTTTAGTGAATTTCACTGTGCCGTTACGTGCCACTTTAACAAAAAACCCAACGACAAAACCCCCCAAAAAGAATCCAAACATAATAATATAATAGCAAAGCAGCCCGAGTCGCCCCTGGTTCGCCCTGCTGGGGAGGAAGGTGACGTGGGGGCGAGATCGGGTGAGCTTGAGGAAGATTCAGACACAATGCCCCCATTGAGGGGGTTCAGGCATGGGTGTTAACTCGCCATTCCTTCACACACAATGGCCCCCATCCCCTCCACCAGAGGCAGTGCAAGGGACAATGTTGGTTCAGGGCAGCCCTCCACACGGTGTGAAAGAAAAGAGCGGCATTATTAAGATGGGAGCCGAGAGAGGGCCCAGGGAGGGGGGAGAGAGACAAACAGGAACAAGAGTGATATGTTTGGGTGCAGGAGGGACAGAGGAGAGGCGAGCACTGTGATCCGTGGCTTTGGACTTGAGAGACAGAAATAAATCTCACAGGCAGCATCACAAATCATGACGTTTGGAAAATATCTGAAATGCTTTTTAGCAATATTCAGAACTATTACTGTGATAAAAAGAAGAAATGATCAGGGTACAAAGGCTGTGTAAATTCTTCAGGTTTGAAATGAATTATGCAAGACGCATCATGTAATAATTTCCTCAACAGTGATGATGACCTTTGAAGCACGAAATAAAGACTTCAGATACTTATTTTTTTACTAACTAGTTTCCTCTGCGATACTTTAATAAAATTAAATACCTGAATCTGTCTGAATAATATAGCTGTCCAAGAAATCTTCTTCTAGATATCATAATGTTCATTTGATTGTAATTTTTGTTCAATATTTATCTTTTTTTCCTTTTTATTCTGAACAAGAAATTTTACATGCATACATATTTTGTCAAATACAAATATCTGCTTTCATCCACACATGAAAATACAACAGATGGACAGAATATCTATTGAATGTTAACGTTATGCACATCCATGATGTGCAGTCAGTAGTATTGTTATTAGCGTTTTGCTGTTATTTTTGTACGAAATGTTTTCTTTTACATGAACGTGGCAAAACAGTTATTGCATTGATTAATTAGCAATTAATTATTACTCAGCCGTTCAGCTTAATGACATAACATGTGCTGCCTTTTCGAAATTTCACCATTCAGTCCTGCAGCAGAGTTGTAGAATACAGACGACACGTCATAGTAAGAACAGGAATTTGGATACAAGACCTGAAGCTGGGATAGTTGACCATTCAGTATGCTGGTACTCCCTTTGCTTGGTGTTTCAAGGTCGAAAGGCTAAAAATCAGTAAGTCAGGATAATGTTGTATTTTAATTGAAATAAATATAAATTTTCATGTTCTTATACACTTTGACATCAAAATCAGTGGACACACTTTTGTCCTTTTATGTTGGGTACAAATTCTGCATTGAATTCATAATATGGATTTTTTTTTTTTACCACCTCAAACCAAATGTCAACGAGAAAGTTGACACTTTGTCTTGCATCTACAAACCTTGGCAGCTTAGAGCTTTCATTAGCTCCAGTTGTCATTTCACCTCAAATATCAGACGGGTAAGGTCCAGACACCAAGCTGTGAGATTAGACACTTACAGTATGATAACCTAGAGCAAAACCACCACAAGTAGTGTCAAAACTTTTAATAAAAACATATTTAACATAATCAAATTGTTCTTAGGTAAAAGAAAGGAAAAGAACAACTATTTATAATTCTGTTAAAATAAAACATTTTGGTTAAAATGTCAACTTAAATGTGCTTATAACTAAAACTTATAGATTTTTAGCCTCCGTTTCTTGCCCTCACAAGCTGATTTTTAATTTAGTCAGGCTATCGGCTAAGGTAGCCATTCTGCATACAAGCCACTAGCAACCGCTAATTGTAAACTGGGTTAGCTTTGTAATGGTGACAGACACACTCTTGCTCATGTTTGTTCATGCCCATAAATTATTAAGAAGCCACATTTGTTTTTGTAGACTAGCTGAAATGTGTAGAGGGCTTCTTTCAGCCAGTTGACCAGAAGTGTGCAGCAGCAGGTGTGGGAGGGGAATACAGCCCAAGAAAACTCTCGTCATGATCTCACCTTTTTTTGGCATCTAGTTAAAAAAAGGCATTTTAAACTGATTCTTCTGAAAGTACAATTCTTCAGTATGTATCAGATTGAGCTCATGTTTGTTGCTTCTGCTCGGTGTAGATGCATTGTTCTGGGAGCAAAGCTGATACAAAAAGTGGCGGGTTGAACGGTCCGAGGTCAGATATGAGAAGAGTTTTAGTGAATTTCACTGTGCCGTTACGTGCCAGCAAAGATGTTGGAAAGTGCATACGCTTTTACTCTGCAGGTAAATCTCAGTCATAATGAAGGGGGGGAGGAGGAGGGTCTTGTCGTTTAAAGCAGGAGAAACACCCAGCCCTGATGTTTGATGCCACGAGGCTGCAAAGGTGGTTAGGAGGGAGTTGCAAGAGAAGCTCAAAAATGTTTATGGAGATCCCACGCCTCTCTGGGAGACTAATAGAATCCTGTGGCTGGAGTGAAAGCTCATTGTGCCAGTGTAAAGGATTACACTGGTAAACTGGTAAAACAGGGGAAAAAAGAGCCCAAACACTCTCTGCCTGCCTCCTACGGAGAGGCAACGAACCATCGAACAATGAGGGGGAGAGCATGCTGCAAGCTGACTCATTTTATCAAGAGAGAGGAGAAAAACCTCTCGGAGGGGCGGCGAGTTCATATACATGCATGTGCACGGGCAGAGGCGCAGAAAAATACCAGCTGCAGATGGAGAGGGAGATGGGGAACAAGGGGACATGTTAACGGCGGCTCCTGTATTGGAGGGTAATATGGGCAAATGATTTCTGTCTTGCCTCTGTGTCTGCATCCTGAGTGACAGTTTACAATCTCTGAGGCAGCAGGCAGGCCCAGCAGGCTGGCTTGGTGGCTCTACAAAATCCCTCATTTCCTAACCTCTTTTTTCCCCCCCTTTCCCTCCACCTTCATCTGGTTTCAGCCGTCCATAATCGACGCAGTTTTTCTGATGCGACCGCACTATAACTCTCCATTGTAAAAAAAAAACAAACAAAAAAATACCCTCATTTACCCTTTTTTTTTATTCGTCACATTTTAAGCAAAGATGCAAGCTTTTATTTTGTTAAACAATACAGCAGCCTCTTTGGTACGTTTTCTCCAGGATAACTCGGTAAATATTCGAGTCCATTTCTGACAGGAACTGTGACCGGAGTAAATTTCCCACAGTTATCCCAAACAGTCTGCATGTAAAGCACAACCCACCTCGCGTTTGTCATTCGGATGGAAACCAGGCGGAGCATAATGCATCATCTGCATCCTGCAACCTGCCACACCACACTGAAAGACTCCTTCGCTCTCTTCATCTCTGTTCCTTCAAAGGCAGCCGTAAATGCGCTCAAACAGCGGGATACGCACTCAGCTAACAAACCTCATTAAGGGCCCTATACACACTTTCTCAATGCCAACACTAGCTGTCACACATCTTCCTTTCAATGCACACACTGGCGGCCGCACTGACCACAACAAAGCATCTTTACAGAGCTAATTAGAGAGGCTCTCCCTCTCTATTTTGAAGCTCATCTGAATAGGAGGGAACATGATAATGAGGAGAGCAAGATGAGTTGGAGACCGAGGGAGAGTGAGGCAGGAAGAGAGAGCGAGAGTGACGATAGGACGTCTGTTCTTCTATTCACAAGGATAGACGGTACATTTTTCTTTCCCCCCCCCACCCCACCCCTCAGATTAGAATTAAAGCAAAGGGCTCCAGGAGGCAGGGGGACCTGAATTAGTGTGACACCACTCTGTGAATCCCTGATGCAGCGATGGAAGTGAGCCGGGAGGGAAGTGAACGCTGCACCATTTTGTTTGGCGTGCCATGCCTCATCCAGAGAGGGATAGAAGGGATGTATGGGAGGGACCAAAGGGGGAAAAAAAAAGAAAAAAAAAAAAGAAGTAGATCTTTGTGATGTTTAAATATGTGTGATATGTGTGTGAACTCGTATTGCAGACATAAATGAGGCATATCTGCTAACAATAAAATTATGAGGCATGTTTTGGGACAAAAACAAAGCCCCTAAAATGTAAATGTGGAAGTCTTTAGGCGATTTGATGATTTGGGTTTACTTGCATTTTCAGAAAATGAATACAAGTTTCATTGTGGTCATGCAAACGTGACTGAGTTTGAGGTGATGCCACTGATGAAGCCAAGTTTAACAGTGAATGGAAGCATCAGATCCTGCAAAAATTATTTAAAACGTTTGGCTTTTAAATAGAAACTTTGAGTTAATGCACAACTGTGTTATGTGCAAGGATGTCTCTTGTTTTCAATTTCTTTCGTATTCTATTTTCAATAATCTGTATGTAGTGTTTTTAGGAGAGAAATATTAAATATATTCTCAAAAGGGGCAAAAACAAAGTGGAATTTTAGATAAATCAAGTCCTTTACTGTTTCAGCCTAAATTTTAAGTTCAAGTTGAAGTTGTGACCCAACTGTTGTCTCGTGAAGCCCGCTGACCCCTGATGGGACTGCAACGCATTCAGGAGGGAGTAGCAGGCGACCCCCCCTCCGTGTCACCTCCCAGACAGCTTGTTAATTTGCACAACTTTTATGCTGCACCGTCTCTGCTCTCTATGCGTGTGCATGTGCCTATGTATATGTGTGTGTATATATTAGCGACGGGACTTGACCCTAGCGAGCCGCGGCAGTGTTTCGCGTCTTGCTGGGCGTGGGAAAAAGACGGGACCCCTTTTCACAGCTGCCTGGCTGAGGCCTAGACTGCTTGGGGGCCCCCCCTTCATAACCCCCACTTTTCTGTCCATGCACCCCATTTCTCTCTTGTCCAAGAAACCTCCCCCCCCACCATCACCTCCCTCCTCCTCTTTCTGTTCCATTCAGACTCCAGCATGCCGTTTCAAAAGCAGGACCCCCTTCCCAGCCCTTCATAAATACATCTCATTATTCAAGCCCTAGTTTGCATAGCGAGTCCAAAGAGATCTCCACTCGGCTCGTGAGGCCTGAAGACCCTCAGCCTTTTCGGACCGCACAAGTGTAAGTTTCGATTTGCTAATCTCCCCCTCCCATGTTAATATTTGTTTTAAAAACCTAAGTGCACGCTTTCTAAACCGTCTCGCCGACGACACAGCTCTCTACCTAATGCATGTTCTTTGACTAGCTTTTAAGTTTTCTCACAAATGAAGCAAAGAATCTGCAAAGCAAAAGCTGATGAAAGGACAGTTTAGCATGACGGATAGCAAGAGCTGCGCTGGTCTGTATTCCATCTGTCACTTGCTTTTGTACAGTACCCCTCCTTCACACACACACAAACTCAAAATCCTCCCACCCCTTCTTCCCCCACGATTGCAACTGGGTGCATTGCATTACTGCAGAGATTTATCTCCCATCAGCCTGTATAATACTGTGGTTATAATTTACATCCACTTTAGAAAACAGCAGGACAGGCTCCTCCTTGCATATGCTAATGAAAAGCTTGGGAAAATCTTGGTGACTTAAAGAGTTCCACAGCAAATTTGAATAACTGGGCTTTCTATTGAGGCTCCAAGGTTGTGCTACCATGAACATGTGACCTTGCTTGACAATATGCAGTTAACATATAATTCCTAATTTCTCAGCTCGTCATGGGAAAAGTCCTGAGACGTCCCCGTTACCGTTTTAAGATTTAGCAAAAAACATTTTTATTTCATCCATGCATCTTTGAAACCTGAAAGGGTGAAAACACTGAACAAAGTGTGTTATTTTGTTCTCAAAATATTTGCAACCTTTGCTAAAATACGAACGTGCTCTTGCAAATTGTGCCCATGCTAATCACGCGACTTTAGATAAGGGGAGGTGGCTTGTCGAGGCATTAGGGTAGAAACGGACAGAGCCACCCAAACACTCTTTCCACATGAGCAGGTCCAAACCCTAGGCGAGCCTCCATGCTCCTAACGGGATAAAGAACTGCAGCAAAGATTACACGGCCACCTCTCCTGCACCTACGGCACACTCTACCTGACAAATGGGATCACGGTGGTTAAAGGGATAAAAACAGCTGAATGCAAGAGAAGGAAACAGAAAGCTGAGCGAGGAAGGCGAGGGGCGTGATGCACAAAATGGAAAAAAAAAATGCAAATACTTCAAAGAAGAGAGTAATGATGGAATTCAACATGGAGGCCCTGGTTCATTCACTCAGATCAGGACGTTTACACTGCAGCATGCAGCCTAGCGCCGTCACACACTGTGCGTTTCGTGTATACAAATGTTATTCGTTTGACATTTGGGTCTTATGCTAAAAATAAGAGCAGATGTCTCAAATGAGCCTTTGTATTTGGTTAGAACTTGTTCTGTTGGGATTATAAGAGAGTAAATGCACAGAACAGGATTTTCTTTGCAAATTTTAGTTTTCTATAAGGTTTAAATGATTTACTTTTTTTGTCCTAAAGTTTTTAAGATGTAAAAGAGAAAATTGTGTGCCATGTTTTCTTTGAGTAATAGTTATGAGTCCAACAGAAAATCGAGGAACAACAAAATTATTCCTCCATTTTGCATCAAAACATTCTTCCCAAACATCTATCTGAAGAACAATGGGAATTTTGATGCATGAAATATATAGGAAATCATAATTTTAGCTGTGTTTGAACTGTTGATCACCAGTCATATCTGATTAAGGACAAATTGTCTGACTCATCACCAACTTTATAACAAAGATGTTCCTCTTGTACGCAGGTTATTTTACACCTGTGTAATGTTTGTCACTTTGTCACTAAATAAATGAAACTGATGGAGGAGTTTTGATGCCACCTTTAGTAACTTGTTGTGACTTATGGTTAGATGGCATCCTAGGTGAGTCAGCCTTCTTTTTCACGTTTTCAAAAATAGAATAAATGTTTAACTCATCTCTAAATTACTTTTAAATTATTTTTGTGATAAGCAGAAATTCCCCACATTTTAATCGATGCAGGTTTTTAGATATTGAACAGGAAAATGCAGTGCAGATTCCCCTCCATAGAAGCACCAGCAGCATATTTAAAGATACAATTCAGACACCAACTTTAACATGATTCACTGTTTGGTCGTTAATGTTTTTGTGTTTTTGTTGTTGTTTTTTTTACAGTGCACGATGCACAAAACAAGATTCCCTCACTCTCCATTTACTGGACATTTCATAATCTATACTTGTTCAGGGACAGACTGTGTTTTCGACTTTAGTTATTGGTACCATCCATAAAGTCAGGCCATCCTAAGCAGTGAGACATATTGCCCAATGAAAAACCGCCACTGTTGACAAACAATCACGTCATTTTTTTATATGTTACTGATGTCAGCTGTTTGAGAAATATTGTTCTGCGAGTCCATTAAATATTAGCCACAAGAGGATGAGGTTCCTTAGATTTATATTGGTTTGATCAGCGGTCATAAGCTTTCTTATTTCATAAGAATCAATTGAGAGTAAGAACCTTTTTAAGCGTTGAACATACAATAAACCAAATGTGATTTTTGAGAGTTTTCATGACAATTATTAACCTCCATAATTAATGAAAAATGCTTCCAAAGAAAAGAGAGACACTGATATTTAAAAGTTTCAGTACACAGGAAATGGTTTGACTGTTGGAACAAAATGGCAATGTGAGTGTATGTGAATACTATATGTGGTGTGAATTCGCAAAAAGGTGAATTGACCCAGAGACTTTTTCAATTCATGCTGTCTTCGTTTGTCTTTTTCCACCTTCAACCCCATAATATGGATAACAATCAGCCGCCTGCAAAGCTCTGCAGCAAACAACTCTAAGCAAAATTGTATTCAAGCTTCCAACATCTCCTGATTTTTTTTTTTTTTGCGCAGCGGACGTACAACCTCCTGCCCATCTACACTCGACATCATGAGTTCTGCCATTTTGAATATTTACCTGCAGGCTGACAGTCGCTCCTCATCCTGTTTACTGGCAGATTTTCTTCAACGCCGGCTAATGCAACCTTCTGGAGCAGCACTGACAACATTTCCCTACAAATACAAAATAAAACAATTATTGAAGCACTGTATACGAGAGAGTATTATTGATTATTTTCACAAAGGAATTCATGTATTTGTGTTGACCTTGCCACAATGGCAGTCTGTTGTATTTTTCTGATTTCTCTTAATTGTCTACTTAACTAAATACAATATTATGCATAAAATAAATCTTGCTTAATTGATATAGAAATGCAATAAAAAATTGGAAGTTACAAAATCCAAAAAGATGGTGGACTAAATATTGTTCTAGTCAGCTTAATGAAATATGTGACAGTTTATGAATACAATGATTGTAAAAAGAAGAAAAAAAACACCCTTTGATCTTAAATTGAGCATAAAATACAAATTGCATAACCTCAGCATAATTTAACCTTTCACCAATTTATATTTGCTCTGCCTGACATCAAAACCAGAGATACGTACATAACAAAAAACAGATTTGAGCTCTCTTGTTCAACAGTGCACATCAAATACTGTCAGTCATGGTCTAAATGGAGCATGCTGGGACTTCAGGGATATTCAGTCATCTTTGAGGCTTTCCAATTCTGCGCCAAGAATAGATCAAACTCTACAGCCGATGTCCTATTTAGTTATTACCGAGCAGGCGAATGGAAAAACAATTTACTTATAGTGAAACAAATTTGAATGCATCTTCCATGTCCAACTATGACTAAAAGCTTGTTAAAAAACAAAAACAAAAAACAGGTGAGCAAGGCCTTTGTTGTATGATGGACCAGGGTTTTTGGTTTCAGATTCACAAAATATGCATTTTTGCTTATCTTTCTAATGAATGGGTGCTTGGTGAGCACATTTTTAACATTTCCAAAGTAAAGTTTCAAAATGCGAGATGTTTTAATTGTTTTTTTTATGTTGGATGTTCATTAAGCAACTAGATGAAATGAATGATGCAGCTCCATCTCTGAGCTAGTTATCAGTCCAATTCTCACTGCATGCAACAAAAGAAAGCTTTGAGCACACGACTCATGACTTCCATTTTGTTTTTGGTCAATTTTAGTGCCTGACTTGCATCAGCACACAGACGCATAGCATAGCTACGTAGCTGTGTTATTTTTACAAAAATGAGGATATCCATAGATGATATTGTGACTATGTGAAGCAAAGGTCGTTTTATAAAAAGTATTTTCACATGGACGAGGCTTAAAAACCTAGAAGTCGATATGTACCTCAAAAATCAAATCCATCCACAACGGCATGCCTAACAGAGTGTGATTCAGACAGCAGGCCTCTCTCCTGTCCCAGAAATCCTCCTAAACCAGCCCAGTTAGAAATATACCTGTTAGGTCAGAGACTAATGGGTATATTTTGATATATTTCTATCAAAGAATAAAAACTACAGATCTCCTTATTAATAGGAATGCTAGTTGGGTTTGATTGGTATTGAACTCAATAGCACCAAAAGACAAAATGATGTGTTCTTTCACCATATTGATCATTGCATCGACAGGAAGCAATGAGAACTCACACTGTAAACTACAATGGCTTATATTTAATCCATCTTAAATGTTTTTAGTTCCAGGCTTGAAAAGCAGTTGGATTTGCTTGCAGATATGCTCTGTGAGTAGGATAACTTAATATAATCCTATACTATGATAGTTTTAACATGGTAGCACCCGCTCACAAAAGGTTGTGTGAAAGAGTGAAAGAAATGCAGATAAATTGCTTTTTGCAAATTTTATACACAAGGCGGCCATTTTAGACTGGAACGTTAGTTGGTTGGAAAGAAACCATCACTCTTGCCGTTTTGACGTCAAACCAGCTTTTAGTTATCTTTTTAGTTTCAATTTCAAAACTGGATACACATAACTCGTAATCTTCAACCTATCGTACAATCGTGCAACGAACGAGGATATATTCTTGCTTGTTATATTTTTTATGACATGATACAGCAAACTGAAACATTTCTAGTCCTGTAGAGTCATAGTTTAGAGATATCTTTCAAGTTTGGCCAGTAGTTAAAAACACATTAGTGTTTAGTGAGATAGCACCTCTCAGTCAGTGTGTGTGTGTGTGTGTGTGTGTGTGTGGGCCCCATGTGGGTGGGTGACCACTGAGTGGGCCCACATAAGCTGAGTAAGGCCTAATTCATGCCTCATGGTTCGCTCTACAGTCCGCTTGATTGCAAAGCCTTAGTAATGTAAATTTTGTCAAATGTATCGAGTCACTACAGAAGACCTCTGCATGCTGGCCAGAGTTTTGTGACTTCAGTGAATGTGGAGCACACAAGGAAATGATGATGCTCCCATACAAAGGGCACACAGAAAATGCAGAGTGAGTTCACAATTGCCAGAACAAAACATTTGTAATTTCCCCCAAATTGAATAATTTGACCTTCAGGAACAACAAGGCAGCTAAAACTGAAATATATATATATATATATATATATATATATATATA